TGATTGGGTACCTAAGTTAAAGGGAAAAAGTTGGTATATGCCAACTAAGTGAAGGAGTCGTGAACGAATGAGATATTTTTATCATAGATACATCTCACTATCATCTTTCAAATGCATCGATTTGATCTAGAGAAAAATATGTCTAGGACACCTTTCTTCGTCACACAATCTTAGCTTAGAAATATCATGTCCTATGGTTGTTTCTCCTGGATGAAATCTACTGAAAGTTGGTAGAAATGCAATTCAAATACATAGAATCTATTGCACGGTGGGCACCACCAGCCGTGCTCAATCAATCTCACGGATTTCGATAAAATTTTGCCTATATGTAGTCCCAAGTGAGATGTGAAAGCATTCAAAATTTCAGCTTCTAAAACCGTTCTCTTCTTGACATATTGCAATCATAATAGAAGCACTCTCAGGTAAAAAATGGCATTTATCAATGTAGTACCTATACATTGATAATTTCCCCATTATTCAACAATAATGTTTTTAGACTTGAAATTTTGTGGATATATACTACCGAGGGTACCCTACATACTGGCATAATCAAAATCATTTTTTGACGTGTTAAGCAATACAGAGGTATTTTATAGGCCCAAGATATGCCCTCAACCTTGCGATCAAGATTTCTAACGCTTATGAACGACCTATGAGCTTCCTCTTTGGAACTAAGTACTATTGCCCCTCAACTATTGACAAGAACTTCCAAAATCTTGGGTATTTGATTGCGATTCGAACAAAAATCTTTTCTATTATATATAAAGGCTAATTTGGGTAAAATTGGGATCCACTTCTAGAAAAGTCGTCAAGTAGAGATCAGCAGATTCTGCTCAGTTTAAGATATGTTGTAGAGAGGAAAGTTTTAAGAACTTTGACGCAAACAATTTCAAAAAATATTGTTCCATTATCGAGATATTCAAACTTTTCTAAGAGCACTATCATCATGCAACAATCATATTTTTAATGATTTGCATGGTCTGATCTCCCAAGGCATAGAATGTGTAGAAGTCGGACTCATGTGGGTTTGAAGTACGCACTGAGTACTGCAAAGTTTTGAAAAACTGCCATGAGATCTCCTAGAATGACCCTGGGATACTCGTTAGAAAATACCGAAAAATGAGATCTTTCTATAGAAAAAGCACCTGAACTCGCTTAAAAATTACTTCAAGCATTTCATCATATGAGACAAATTATACCTAGTAAAAATCAGCATATGATCCTCTATTACCTTCCGTAAAAACACTTTTAAAACGAAAAAACAATTTTTTCAAAATTCCCCGTTTCCCTATCTAGGCCTTTTGCGGAAAATCCGTTTCTGGAAATCCTCGTATCCCACTGCGGGGATTTCTGAAAAATTGTTTTTTCGTTTTAAAAGTGTTTTTACGGAAGGTAATAGAGGATCATATGCTGATTTTTACTAGTTATAATTTGTCTCATATGATGAAATGCTTCAAGAAATTTCTAAGCTAGCTCAGGTGCTTTTTCTATAGAAAACGTCTCAGTTTCGGCATTTTTCAACAAGTACCCCATGACCATTTCAGGAGATCTCATGGCAGTTTTTCAAAACTTTGCAGTACTCAGTGGGTATTTCAAACCAACATAAGTCCGACTTCTACACATTCTATGTTTTGGGAGATCTGATCATGCAAATTATTATAAATGTTATTGATGCATGGGTGTGAGTGTGGGTGTGGGTGTTAGTAGGAAGACACTTACCCACACCCACCCTTAAATTTTCAGTACTAGTACGTATCTTTTTTTTTGCCGACAAATTATAGTTTAATAACGCATTGGGTCCCTTTTCATTGCACATAGAGTAGTGTATAGCTTATTATTGTGAATGCGGTTCGAAAATGAGAAGATAGTAGAGCAAAAGTATTATAAAAGTACACACATACATATGGATGAGCAAGGAAAAAACATGCATAAGTTAAAGTTGAGGATTCTTCCAATATGCTTCTGTGCATCACACATGGGTATTTTCCCTAAGAATTAATGTCCGCGCCAGAATGAAAGAGGTGTGGATGTAAACGCAATAACTCGATAACGGCAGCAGCTAGCGACCTGCGGTTTTCATCAATTGAAAGAGGAGAAGTCGGGGCATCGTTTTCTCTGATAAAGTATAAGAAGAAATCCTTTTAAAACTAATCATCTTCGAAAAACCTGCACACTAATGTACGAAAATGATTTACCATCTAGATAGAATTTTGATTTTGGCCTTTGATTTAGATAGAGGGACTAGAGATCTATAGTTCAAGATACAATGCGCTTTCTTACTTTTCATTACAATTTCATCGAAATGTCAAGCTATTATGACAAAAAGTTGAAAAACGTCGTACAAAATCAGCAAAATTCCCTATTATTTGTGCACGTAAATACATGATTCTATTTGCTCAACGTTAGAGTGTAAAAAGAGAACGATTTGCATTGTATGTTGAAGTATAGATCTCAAGTCCCTCTATCTACATCGGAGGTCAAAATCAAAATTCGATCTAGATGGTAGGTCATTTTCATACATTCTTTTGCATGTTTTTCGAAGATGATTAGTTTTAAAAGAATTTCTTCTTATACTTTATCGGGAAAAAAGACGCCATGACTTCTCCTCTTTCAATTGATGCAAATCACAGGTCGCTAGCTACTGCCGTTATCGAGTTATTCTGCTTACAACCATCCCTCTTTCATTCTGGCACGGACATTAGGTGTTTTCGCATCTTAGATTTTTCCTCTATGTTTTCCAATATATATTATTGGATTTTTCCTTTCTGTTGTATGTGTCACTTTCTCATTATATATACGTCTACACATATATATGTTCGTATGTGTTATCTTGCGCTGTATTCTTGTTTATCTTCTCTACTTTTACGTAGTTAGTGTTTTCCCAATAAAACCGAACTCACGTTCACCCAAACTTACAGTTAAAATACAAGAAGCGATTCTTTTATTCTTCTTCTTTTCTTAATTATTCACAGAAAGAATAAGCAAAGAGTGAATGTGTGATTCAGACGGAAGAAAATAAAAGTTACTATCCAAGTGAAAAATAAGTAAACAATTCTGAAAAAGTAAAATTTGAATGGGCAAATCTCCAAATCAGATGGACAATTGTCCATTTGCCTCCCCTTGGTTACGCCGCTGGACTGGTGGACATTAGAACCCATGGAAGCACCGCCAGTTCCTTTACATTAGTAATAAATGAAAGCGAGATTTGAAATAAAGAGTAGCATATGTTCACTCTGAAGTGGCATATGTAAATTAAATTTCACTTATAGATTTTTCTTTTGTTAAACTAGAATAAATATATTCATGGGCATTCGTAACGTTTTATTTTAACAAGCAAAACAAATATAAAGTTTGTTTTTTATCTCTCACAATCCTATGTTCCTTTTTTATTTTGCCATATTAAAAAAAGATAAAAGTAGCATTGCGAATTAAATTAAGAAATAATACATGAAAAAAATAATGTAAAAGATCGTAAGATCTTATGATGAATAATTAAATCAATTACATGATGTTGATACATGATTTAAGCTTCGGGATTTCGCATATAAAAATCTAGGAAAATTTTTTATATTGATTTAAAATATTTATTTCGTATTGACACGAATAAAAACTGTTCCAGGGCCAGCAAATCTATAGACAAAAGCTTCTACATTACGAATTCCACTCATAAGACTAAAACCAATTTTTTCAATTGAATATGGACAATTCCATGCAACTAAATGTCCATTATTAACAATCCATTGTTCACCTTGTTTTAAATGACGTTGTACAATAGCACAAGATGATTTGACAAAAATAATTCCAACACCTGATATACAATCAACAAAAAGATTTTCACCAGAATACATTCCCTTACTAAATCCTTGAAATTTTGTTTCTTTTACAATACCAGCAGTCATAGCTAAAAAAGCATTTCTGTCTATATTCCATTGAGTTTTACCATCCAATTGAATAGGAACGATATTACCGCTGTAAAATAAAATAAAAGAATGGTTCTTATTTTTACGGTGTGCAGCTCATGAGCACTGATTAGCGCTCATTTGAGAATAGACGTGAGTTGTACAGCCCTATTTATTTTTATCTTATGGTAGCTATAGAGAGTCAATATCAAATTGGAAAAACGATAATTTAAGCATTTTTTATAGAAATTTTCTTCTTTTTCTCTTCGCTCGTTGTTTTTTGGTTGGAAAATTTCACTCCGATATGGTATAAGATTAGAATATAGGATCTTGGTACCTGTCAAAAGTCGAGGAAAATCTTACCAATTAGATAGTGAAAGTAGCACTTCTCCAGGACCAGTAAATGTTGTTTGAGCCATTTCACCACCAGTCAACAATTCTGTAAATGAAAAATTAAATTTTCCGTTGATTGTCACTTCTGAACTCATAGCAACCATAGCTCCAGGTTGTGCATAAAATGAAACGTTTGGTTGTAATGTTATACAAAGAAGTGCATTTGTGTCACGATGATCTATTTTGTAATTAACACCATTAAATTCACCTATGGTATCTGTTAAATTATTGGGAGCAGACGATTCTGATTCTTCCATTTGTATGTACGAAGATTCTTGAGAGGGCTTTTCTGTATTCATTTGATACGAAAAAATTAGGCACAAGTTAATCTTGATACATAAGTTACAGAAGAAAAGCAAATGAGTCAACTATGTGGGGAAAATAAGAACGTAACTACGTTATGATGCATTTTCCAGAGCCAGAAAGAAAAAGAAAGATA